GGGCTCTCCCGTGACGGATTACGGAGTCGTCCTCAATATTGGAGCACCCGTGACGGTGTTGGACTGCGGTGCGTGCACCATGGACGCCGTGTGCCTCGCTGCGAGGACGAGCAGCATCAGCGGCTGTGAGTGCGTGTGCGCTGCTGGCGGCTACGGTGACACGTGTCTGCCAGCTGCGGTTCCGGACGGCCTTGGGCCTCTCCCGCTCCCCGATGCGGACGACACGGAGGTCCGCTGCGTGCACGGTGGCAGCATCGACTCTTTGGACGTTCCTGATCCCGGCGTGCGTGGTCTGTGCTTCGTCAACGTGACCTTCACCGCCGCGATTGTGCTGGACCTGTCACATTTTGACGCGCCACAACAGACACTCAACATCACGCTGCTGCATTGCGTCCTCAGGGGCCTGTCGATCAAGGGGAGTGGTGCGCGCGTGCACGTGAACGTGGTCGCCTCGATGATGGATTCCGGAGTGTTGGAGTTTGAGGGTGATTTTGGCGTGAGCTCCCAGATACTGGTGGTGGGTAGTACGATTGTGACGACGTCGGGCCATGCCATTTTATTTGTGAAGTTTACTCTCAGTGCTAATATGACGCTGCTGCTGCTTGACGACTATATCGAGGGGAACTGTTACGCAGTCTATTTCTCCGTTGCTGTTGTTGTTGATGGTGGCGGGATTATTGTGAAGGGAAATACGCTGAGCGCAACGAAGGATGATGACGGTGTGGAATCATCTGTTTGCGTTTACGCTGTTGATGTGAAGAACGGAGGCTACTTTGACGTGGAGAACAACACGATGAGCGCGGTCAATGGCGTTATTCTTTTTGGGGATACCACCGTGAGCTCCGCGGGGCTGCTGCGAGTGGCGGACTGCACCTTCTTTGGTGGGACGGAAATTTTTGATCCCGCGCTGGTGTATTTGTCTGGCTCTGTGACACTCGAGGGCGGTGCGCAGTGGCGTGTGGAGGGCAACAGCGTGGGTGCAGCCTCAGTATTAACTATTCCGTATCCCCAGTACAAAA